TAATCACCTTCTTTCTTTTTCTCTGCCTCCCTCACTCACATTCATGGATGCTCTGAAACACTGGTGAGGATGAAGTTGGGTCATCTTTAACTCTTGAGAAATATTTTGGTCTAGACAAGAAGATAATCTTCTCTGATAAATTCTATTAGCTATGGCTTGCTAAGTTGAATGGTGTCTACAAGGCCCATAAGTTAATTTCCTCCCTTACCTGGTAGAGTTAATACACATTCTGCCCTAATAAAGGTTCAGAAGTAGTTTTTGCTTTAATTACATTGAGGAGGAATGGGCAGAACATATGCATGATGCTCTTATGGCCAAAACTCAAAAATGTCCCTGCCTGTGGCAGGAGGGTTGGAACTAGATGATCTTAAGGTCCTTTCCAATCCTAACTATTCTATGATTCTATGATTGTCTGTAATTTGTACTAACGTGCCAGATTTTAACATAAAAGTATGAATATCAAGATTCTGCTATTCTAAGAACAGGCAGGATAGGTGCCTAAATAAACTTTCCATCTAGCATGTTGTTTTTAAGAGGTCACTGAAGCCTTCTTGCAAAATAGGCTTTCAGTAATACAGAAAGGTTCCCATCATTAGGGAAGGTAGGCTTAAGTTGATATTAATTGAATTGGAGATCTTCCAGACAGTTTAGACTGGCAAAAATGCACTTTCCAGACTATGGCAACATTTTATGGTAGTTCTGAGAGTATCTTGAATTTCAAGTGACAACCTTGCTTCAAGCTTGTGGGATACAGTGCGTATGCCTGATGTTCCAGTTTGTTCTCAGCAAGGTTAAGTGAAATTAGACCAACTGGACTAAATTATCCTTTCATATGGAAATTGTGTCACTGTTCAGATGTCAGAATGAGACGTGTACAAAGGAGCTTAGTTCGTGTACTGCTTTCCATAAACTAATGAATCCTTGAGCTCAAGGTTGAGGAGCTCCTACACTGTGCTTCAGAATACAGGGAGATTAATCTTCTCCTCACCTTCCCTCTGCTGTACCCTTTTAAAAAGATGTGGTGACTTTTCTTACAGCAAAGTATGTTGTTGCCATTTTCCAGTGAATTCCAAGTGCAGTGTTTACTGTCAGCACTGCCATGATGTGTTGTACCAACAGCCGAGAGGGAGCTGCGTTGCTTCTGCTCTGCCAAGCAGCCATATATCTGTGTGTATAGAATAGTCAGCTGTTGTCAGGTACCTTGCTGTTTTCTGGGGCTTTATTTATCTCCCCTGTTTTACTTTGTGGAGTGTAAATCAGGACCAGTCCTTTGAGCCCTCCAATCTTTAAAGCATCTGGTCAGGTAAGAAAGGATCACAGCTGAAGTTTGTCTGCACCACACTTCCAGTGCATGCAACCAAGACGCTGCTGCAGAGGATTAAAGTTTTAAAATTCATTAAAATATCTTCACTTCTTGGAAAGGAAAGTATGGTTTAAGTCATATGATACCTGTGATGCACAGAGGGGAGAATGTGCTGAAGCATACAATGCTGAGGAATTTGAAGCAACTCTCTGCTAACTAATTGAAGTTATTTGGATTAATACATTTTTGTTTTGGAAACTGATCAGCTTATTAATTCTACCTCACCTACTGTATTTAAACATGAATTAACTTTGTTTTGAACCTAGATGCTCCTACAATTGATCATTCTGAATGCTGGAAGTGAACTGGCTTCAGTAAAGCTTTTTGGGGATTAGGCTCATTTCATATTACGTGTAGTACAAATAGGAACAGAAATACCAGTAGAAAAGGGTATAATGGCTAAAGTAGGTGTTTTTGAGAATCTCTTCAGGAAGGAATTCTTAGAGCTTTATAAAGTTATAGCCAAACATAGCATTTAAACATAACTGACAGAAAAAAAAAGTAAATTACTGTTAACTTACAGATTAGTGTGCTGTTTTTTCTTTAATTTGTGGCTGAAGATATGAAAAATGGAGTTTTGTTCTTGTGCAAAAAAGTTATTTCATTATTAAATTGTATCTAGTGTGAGAGAATTCTTTATGCAATGTCAGTTTTGACCTTGGTATTTTCCAATTTCATTTTTTACACTAGAATCTGAGTTCAGAGTACCTTTCTGAATTTGAGGGGTTTGCATCCCTGTGCGCTTCAAGAAGATGTAAAAATACCTTTAACTTTGGCAGGTATCTTTCATGTCCATATCAGCTTCTACATGATCCTTATCTTACCTGGACTTCTGTTATTTATTTTTCATTTGAATGCAATCTTTGTTAATTTTGGATATCAAAAGTTGTTGAATAATTGGAATATATGTGCAGTCACCAGGTTTTGAATTAATACTGGACATCATTGTCATGCTAGTCCAGCCTCCTTACTTGTCTAGATTAATTGAAGACTGCTACTGTAAATTGCTTACCTGTGTGTCTTCAGAGGAACCACACAGACCCCACAGCAGGCAGGAGAACGTGTTAGAGCCGCTGAGGTCTAGAGAATTGAGGAGGTGTTCACTTATTAAACTTTATGGTAGGCACTAGCCCCAGGTTAGAAAACTTGAATTCTTGCTAACATGGACTGCTCTTGTAATCTAACAGCCAGAGAAAATTAACAAGTATCTGGTTAATTTTAACTGGTTTGGGAAATTACAGTCATACCATTTAGTGTACCCACAAATGACTGTCAACTCCCAACTCCCACAGCTGTAACCTCTTACCATGACCCAGAAAAACGTGAAAAAGCTTCACAGAAGAAAGCATCATCCCAAGCTGTTGCCCAGATTTTTGCTAAGTCATTAAGCCACAATAAACGTTTTCCAATTTTCTTTTTGTCTTTATGCTAAAGAGATTTCCAGTATTTTGCTGGTTTAAGATTATGAAAGTCTGAAATAGACAAAATTCTGGTTTTAGAGTTCAAATCTTACTGTCTGGTCGGAAGATAAATCCTAAATGTTTAAATCCATTTAAATATATTGTAAAACATTCTTTTAAAGTATGCATAAATGTACATATACTCTTACTTGAATTTCATAGTACTAGAATGATCTGCACTACGTCTTCTGGGAATTATTCTTACGAGACGTATATAAAATACAAAGCAAGGATTGGGCTGAACCATAAAGCGTGATCGGTTGGTTATGGAGGTGTAGTTGCCATGGCAGTCTTTTCCAAGTATCTAGTTTTCAGACTGGAGTATTTTATAAGGCTGAAAGAAGTGCTAAACTAAAGATACTTTAATTTGTGTAAAGTTTTTTGGTCTGGTTATTGCATATAATCAGAAGGGTCAGTATGGAGTGAGGAGTAACAAGTGCCTGGATGGAAAATAAAATAACGCTAAAAGTAATAGTGACTGTGAGCTAATTATTTTCATACTCAATTAACGTAATTAGTTTTGTGAAACCTAAAACTAAAATGTTGAAGTGTGTTATATCTTTAGGGACTGTTTTAAGATACTTATATCTGCTAAAGGGGAAAACAATGTTTTTACTTAAAAAGTCACTTTTTATTGGTACTAGCATCTTTAACTTACTCCAGCTCTAGGTATGCAGGTTCTTTGTTTGCTAGCAAGAGTGATGATATAACCATTGTGGTTTTTTGGGTAAGCCTTTCTAGTAGTGTTCTGGGCTATACCTGTGTTGTTAACACAGACCTTTTCTTGTCTCTGAAAGCAGCTGCATAGAATTTAATATTCTTTGAGAAGTCACACAGGACTAGAGATAGCAGGGTGAGAGGTAACTTGGTATATAACAACAGAGGAAAACACTTTTTCAGTGTTTATCTTAACTTTTTTTTAATAAATTATAGTTTTGTAGTATTTATCTAAAAAGGACGTGTCAAATAGTAGTATTCACTCAATACTCTGCAAAATTAGGGTAAGTCACTACATTAATAATAGCAAATAGGCTGTGTAAAGGTATGTCAAATTTGTCATAATTTAAATAATGTGTATCATCATGTAGGAACTGTTTGTGTCAATAGTCTTAGGCAGAGAAAGTCTATTAAGCAAAGAAAGTCTAGCAGTCCCTGCTTAAACTCCAGCTGCCTCTAATTGCTGCAGATTTTCTGAAAAGAGGTAGCCTGTAAGACACCCAAGTGCCAAATTTTAAAGGTCAAAACCAACATGTTCACATTCAGTGAGAAAACTGAGTTGTACTGATTATGGAGCAAAAGAGCAATCAATGCATGCTCGACAGAAAGCCCTCTTAACCGGGCAGCTGTATTCAAGTCTAGCAGCCAGTCTTTAGATGGCTCTGCTTAGCATAGTTTGCTGTATTAATTTCACTTCTGAGGTAGCAAAAACATGGACTGCTTGGGCCAAATCTTCATTCAAATTTAACAACATTAAGTAAAAGTGAAGCAAGCTTTCTTGCCAGCTGCATTCAGAAGAGCACTGAATGCCACACACAGTTTTACTGGCTAATTTAAAGTCCCAAAATTCTGAGTCACTAAGAGCAATTTTTACTGGACGTACTTCTTTCTTTCTTTTGAACTGGTTGCTATTTATATTTAAATAAAAAAAAACAGATAATAAAACACAACACATGCATTCTTTTTGCTCATGCTTACTGTTTTTAGGTAAGCATTTTTTTCATAGTTAAGTATGTAAGCATAGAAGTCTATTTATCCTTTTACCTGTCCACTTTTTTTACCATTTCTTTTAATATTTATTCATTGTATAGAGTAACCAGAAACTTGGTGCCTCCATTTTAAGATGGTAATCACTGATACCAGCAGATACTGCTGATAAGCAGCTCAGATACAGTTGCTGGACAATAAGAACCCCTTATTCACTAGCTTATATTCTCACTGCTCAAAAGGCTTAATTAATCAAATAAACACACTTTTATGCTGCAAACATGCTTGTCTCCATTCTGAAATCAATCCTGCATGTGGGTACTCAGTGCATTTAATTTATGAAAACAAGTAACAGCCTTACCAGTCATCTGTAATTTGTGTGTCTTATTCAATTCTTGGTGCTTTCTTCATTTAAAAAATGCTTTATAAATTGACCTGATCTTTTTCTTTCTTGTGCCTTTATCTTTTCCAAGGTTATGCCTTTCTGCTGTTCCAAGAAGAAAGCTCTGTACAAGCTCTGATAGATGCCTGCCTGGAAGAAGATGGGAAACTTTACCTGTGTGTGTCAAGTCCCACAATCAAGGATAAACCAGTAAGTAGCTCATGCCATGGCACTTATGCTGCTTGCTAACCCAGTTGTTGTTAGTCTTTTCAGTTAATAAATAAATAAAGAAATACTTATAGTTAATTGACTTGTCCATTTCCTGTTGCTGTCCTTGCTGTTACATTGATTTGACTTTCTGTATCAGCGTAACATGGTTTTAACATTTGCTTCCCTCTGATAAATGTCATGTTCAATTAACTTTTGTACTGGGTACTTCTGGTATCTCACAGGAATATACATCCTTTTAGAATGTTAGCTGTAGAACAGTTGGATTATCATTTTATCATTTTTTCCTCTATATTATTTGAAAGAAAAGAAAGCTGTATGCAGTGAAATTAAGGGACTCCCCCCGTCCCCCAGATAAAATCCAGATAGCTTCAAATACCCCTGTACATCATTAGTTTTCTTAATTAGTTTTTTTTCTGCATGCAATAGCTAAACAAATTGTAATTTAGGTCTCATTTAGCTTATATAAACTGCAGGGTAAAAACAAGTAATGCAGACAGCTATAGCAGAATAGAAGACACGTGGTAATGTATTGTTTCTGCTGTTCACATCTGTAACACTCCTTAATGCTGGTCTTTTGTGTGGCTATGAATACATCAGGTGAGATGAAAACTACAGAGAAATACGATTAGATAAAAAAATGCTGCCTTTTAAAAACACTATTACAAAGCTAGTACGGGTGAATGAACAACTCAATATTACAGCACAACGAGTGTGCTTGTATGACTTCTAGGATCAAAAAATGGATGCATGATCAGCTTTATCCAAATAACTTCTGAACAGTATTTTTTCTCTGTAATCTAAACATATCTGATCAACTGTGTTGCTGCTTAACAGAGGTGAGCATTCACACATTATAAAACCTCCTTTTGTATCCAAGCACAGAAATTAATTTTATCTCCCCTTCTACCAGTGCTTTAAAATTTGTGGATCAGTGTATGTGATGTTAGGAAAGCCAGAAGCCCAAACTGCAACTGTACATACACAGTAAAATGTTCTGAAAGTCCTTTCACAGATTTCTTATTATAATGGCGATTAGGGGCCGGGAATTAATAAGGTAGGAGTTTGCAGTGATCAAATTTAACTCAAGCCTGGCCTCTAGAGGTGATAAATGAATTGTCCATTTTCTTTCAAATGCTTTGGATACCCTATGTTCTCAAATAATTTTGGTGCTTATACCACCAATTTACTGCTTTTGCTAAGTTAAAATTATATCTTTAATCATAGAAAGATTTGGTAGTTGTTTCTTCATTTTAATGGAGTTGCTAAAACTTCCTCTACTAAAACCAATTCTTAATACAGGTGCAAATTCGACCTTGGAACCTAAGTGACAGTGACTTTGTGATGGATGGGTCTCAGCCTTTGGATCCAAGAAAAACTATCTTTGTTGGAGGAGTTCCACGGCCCCTCCGAGCTGGTGAGTAGAAGGGCATATATTAGGGAGTTCCAAGCTAAGCAGAAAAGTTCTATAGTGTATGTCTTTTCCAAAAATTTATCACTTTCTAAGTCTTCCTGTCTACAAAATACAAACTGTGAACAACTTTTATCTTGTAGATAGGTTACTGGTTAGGATTTCCCGTAGACACAGTTTCCCCGAGTTTGCATAATATCCTAGAACTTGGCTGGTTTTTTGTAACATATACCATCTTAATCCTAAACCTGATCGGCTTGCTGAGATGCAGACAAGTTCCTCTTTCATTTGACTACAAGACAAACTTCTCCCAGCCCCATTCCAACCCAATTCCAACTGCAGCTTTATGATTTGTCTTTCCCTTTTATTCAACCCTAACCCTAATTTTCCCTTGGAGCAATAGGTAAAGCCTCTCAGCCACTGTCCAGAGAAAAATTTCTCCCAGCCCCTGCCTCTTGGTGGCCCCACTCTTCTGAAGACCACTTTCCAGACCCACTCCTGATGTAGTTCTTTTTCTGTTTCTTTTCTCTTCACCCTTAACTCTTTTTCTTCACTTCTATTTGCAGAGCCATAGACAAGACTCCTTAGCCTTTGGCCAGATGAAAGATTTATCCCAGCCCAGATGTCCTGGCAGCCCCCAGTTTGTTTTGAAGGCCCCTTTTCAGCACTGCTTCCAACATTCTTTCTTCCTAAACCCTTACATCCTTGATGAGCCAATGACAAGGTCATGAAGCAAGTTGAAACATTTTTCCTAGCTCCATCTTTTGGCAGCCATCACTTTTGTTAGTAGTCCCTCTCCATCCTCACTCCAAGTCAGCTGCATGGTTTCTCTTTTCCATCCTCTCAAATCTAATCCTCATTTTTCAGGGCTGTAGTAGACAAGGCCCCTCAGTCACTGGAAGAAAGACTTCTGGATAGGATTTCCCAGTAGCCCTCTTCCTTTGGCAGCCACTTTCTACCCCACTAGAACTTCAGTTACTCACTTGATATTTCTCCTAAGTCAAATCCTTTTGGAAAGCTGCACACAGGGCCCCCCAGCCATTGCTGTCAGTAAGATTTCTCCCAGCCCAGGTTTCTTGGCAGCCTTCACTTTCCTCACCATGTTAAAATAAGGCATAATTGTAAGACAGTAATTATGTAAATAGTAACAATTAAACATTAGCTCATTTCTAATTATAGCCTTTGTAAAACTGTATGTCATTTGGCCTGTCATAGATTACATTTGAAATGCATTACATTTGAAAACTGATGTCTTTAAATAGTTAACTTCTCCAAAGCAGACAAGTTGTTTCCAGTTTTTCTTGTTTGCAACTTTAAAGACCTGACACAGAAGTTTTTCCTAAGATGTCTGAACACTGCATGGTTTCCTTGCCCTGAAATCCTGTGTTAGTCTTTGTCTAGTGGCAAGAGTAACTTACTGGAACTACTAATAGATGTTTAAGTGTTCCTGATGTTTATTCCATACTGTCACTTTCTGAGATCATTACCCAAGTTATGATTCCAACTTATTAGAAAGCAGAATCTACTAGTCACTACATTATACTGATAGTTCTGCCTTACTGGTTAAAGCAAGAGTATTGTCTGGTTTGGTAGAATGAGTTAGACATTTTTTGCTTGTTGCAAATGGACAAATGAGCATATGGTCTTCCCTTAATGTGACACACACATTTATACAAACACACATCTCTATTTAAAAATTGTCTCTATTCTATATATAATGAACTAGTGAGAATTCTGTGAGAACTGCAAGGTTTTATATATTTAGTATATCTTTTTCATTTTATCTTGGATAGCTCAATTTTTACTTGCTACTGAAAGTGTTTTCACACATTGGCATAAGGCTGACTTGGCAGAGCCTGTACAGGTCCTAGGTCTTTGATTTGTGAGGGTCTCTCCCTCATCCATCTGACAAATTAGTTTGCCTGTCAAGTTTTACAGAGAACTTGGTTTGGTGATCATACATCTTTGCATAGTTTACCTGCCTCTCTTCTCCACCTCCTTCAGGTCTTTCCCTTAACTTTCCTTCTGTATATTTCCTCAGCCTGTCTTATTTTCTGAATTATATTTATAACTTCTTTGGAGTTATCCTTAAGTGTCAGGAATAAGCAACAAACCATTTGAAAAGATCCACCATCAAGTTAATGTTCTACAAAAATACTAAGTTAAGTTACAGGCTTGCTTTAAGTGCAATAACTTCTGATGTATCAGAAAATTTTGTTGCAAATGTAAAACACTTCCCTAGTGTCTTTTCAATCTTAGTAGCTAGGGCAATGTACCAGGTTCTAAATTCTGCTTTTTGCTTTTATATTTTACTATAATTTGTGTAGGATTGATTCAATCTGTTAGAACCAGTGTTTGGACTTGCTATTTTAGATTTTGGAAGACAAGTAAGCTAAGGCAAACAGTGCTTTTTTTAATGCAACAAAGCAAACACTATTGTTTATGTTAAATCTATACTATTTAACACTTGACTTCTTGCAGTTGAATTGGCAATGATTATGGACCGTTTATATGGAGGTGTCTGCTATGCTGGCATTGATACAGACCCAGAGCTGAAGTATCCAAAAGGTGCTGGCAGAGTGGCTTTCTCCAATCAGCAGAGCTATATTGCTGCTATCAGCGCTCGCTTTGTCCAGCTCCAACATAATGACATTGATAAACGGGTAAGTAAAATAGCATGGAACAGAACGGCTGTTACTCATAAAACTGTACAGAAATTAAAAACATCCTTACATTAATATTGTGTTGGAGAACACTAACCTCTGTTCTTCAGATGACTGACATTTGCTAATTACTTAGAAGCTTATTTAAGCAGCTAAAGCAGAGTGAAAAAATGAACCTTAAACATCTTAAATAACTGTTGAGCACTAAAACCAGAAAATATTTGGTTGTAAGCTCGTTTGTTCTTTGTTTTGTTTTGAATTCTGAAGATGAAATGCCGTAGAATTTCCCAGCTTTTTTCCTTCTCCTTTGGATGTTTGCTCACTGTTCATCAACAGCTTTTACTTAGTGGCTACTCACATAGCTTCTGGCACTTCTGCTATTATTAGGCAACATTTTTTTTCTTGGCAGTGTACATCTAGACTTGAGGTGCCTAAATCACAGCTTTATCATACCTATAATAGGTAATGCTGACCTCAAAAGTCTTGAGAATTATTTAACCAAACCCAAATGCCCAGAGATGCTTGATAGGCAAAAGGGGAAGAAATGAAAACGGATTGTTCAGTATGAAATCCTGGTTTCTAAAGGGCTTTTCAAGTACTAAGTGAAGTTATTTACTGAAATCTGAGTTGAAGACATTAAAAGAAAACACTCCTTAATTTCCAAGATATTTTTTTCCATTAGACCTTCTGTCTTCACCTTTGGATTACTTGTATAAATTACTTGTATAAATAACAACCTATGTTTCTGGGGACTCCACATTTAGAATTATTCAAAGAACATACAGCATGCACTGCTGCTATGGATTTTTACAATAGGGATGGCTTGTTTTCTGCTTAATCTAATAGAAATTTCTTAAGAAGTCATCTTGACAGGTATTGAGTTTGTCTGTTTTGTGCAGTATACATATAAATCACACAGCTGTAAAGTCCAAGCTATTTTTACTTTCTCTTTAAAAATCTGAACTAACTTTTTGTCAGATGAGGTGAGGTCTCTGAATTTTAAGTCTTCAAACTATGTTTTATGGTGCTACTCTGTGGTGTGACTGTAACTAAGACAAGGCTGTTCTTAAGTATTTCTTGTCCGTTGAATTCTGAAAAAAAATTACAGAGAGACTAAGAAGATTAATTTTGGAATCTTAATCACAGTGTTGAACCCTTTGAGATTTATATATCAGCCATGCTTAAAAACTTAGGGGTTTTTTTAAGCTTTAGGATAAAGTCACAAGTGACGCTAGCTGGTAGGTTTTTTCCATCCATCAGTACTTTTCCCAATTACTGATTGATAATTTATGTTTGTTTAATTATCTTTTATCTGTATTTAAAATAGGTTTATCTGTGAGTTTGAAGAAGTATGAAATCCCTTAATCAGTCCTTAAATACTAGTTTTTAAATCCAGTAGATTGAAATCCCTGAGCTGTACAGCATACTTTCTTACAATTATGTCACTAGTAACCAAAACAAGAAAAGGTGTTAGAATCTATTTCAGACCTTCGCAACTCATGCTTTGGAAATGTGAGTAGGTGGGGATCCAGAGATGTGCTGGACATTGGACCTGCTTTCTTCCAATTTCATTTGAGACGGTGCTGTCTTATTTTATGTGATGCTTCTAATTTTAGTGGTATGGCATCTGATATGCAAAATGGCAGTTACTCAGACTTGTTCTGTGCAGCACTAGTGGTACATTGTAATTTAAAAGAAAAATAAGAGTCAGTGATTCTGGCTGTTCTATAGGCAAGAAATAGAATTCTCTCTAGAAGTGTTACTTCAAATGAGTTATATTTACTGAAACGTGATCAGGATATGCTGAAGTAAAATTCAGCATAACGCTTTTTTGTATAATATGTTTCTTGTTTTTCAACTTAATATCTCATTCTGGTTTTCCTTAATAGCATAAGAATTACACCTGCATAAACTAATGATGAATAATGAATAAAGCACGATGAATAAACGCTCAATTTGAATGTGTAGGCTCGATTCTTAGGAGCAGACACATAAGAGAGAACTCATATGTTGTCAACTTCTGTAACAGTATTATTTCAAGTGCCGAGTCAAGCATCAGAATGCTGCTGGGTTTGGCACAAGCACTTTAAAAACTAGAAAAATTCCAGTCCTAAGATGTTTACAACTGAGTGTAGGACAAAAGTCAGCAGCTCTCCAGCCTATTTGTAATTGGTGGTAAGGCCACAGTTGGATTTTTGCCAGCATAAGGCAGAGTATTTAATACAAGTGCATTTAATCTTGTTTAAACTGAATCTTTATTTATTAGTCTTGTCCTACATTGTGCAGTTCACAAAAAAAAAAAAAGGAGGAAAAAAAAAAACCCCAAACCCTCTCTGGAAAAAGCCTCCAAAACTCACCAGACATCTGAACTTTAGAAGTATAATTTTGTTCTTTATAATTTTTCTTTCCTAAATGCTGCTCTCACACCCTGCCCCCGTAACAACTGTATTCACATTCCTGGAGGTTTCTTAGACAGCAGCGAAATCTTTAGAGATGCTATTTTTACTGTACTTCCATCTTAGTACTTTTGCATACCTAAATTTTCCAAGAAATGTTGAATGGTTACCAAAACACATCCTTCTTTCTTGAGGTCTTCTGACAAGTAAAGTGGTAAGAAAATTTAACTACCAAAGTCTTTGGGTCAATCCAGCATCAGTTGAAAACCTTCAACAGAGTTAAAAGAATTAAAATACCATTCCTTCTTTTCATACTTGGCAAAACTCTTGTAATCTTCTGACAACTCTTCTTCTTTTTCCTGGTGCAGGTGGAAGTGAAGCCATACGTGCTGGATGATCAGATGTGTGATGAATGCCAGGGCACTCGCTGTGGTGGAAAATTTGCTCCATTCTTTTGTGCCAATGTTACCTGTTTGCAGTATTACTGTGAATACTGCTGGGCAAGCATACACTCTCGTGCTGGGCGTGAGTTCCACAAACCACTGGTAAAGGAGGGAGGTGACCGGCCCCGCCACGTCCCATTCCGCTGGAGCTGAACCCCAGGCCTCCCCCAGCAACAAGTACTGGAGTAGATAAAATTGTGTGAAAAGAGAGCGCTGCCTCAGGGCTTAGTGTTCTGGAAATCTGTGCATTCGTCCGCGACTTTAATGAAGATATGGGTCTTTTTATTACTATTATTATTATTTACAGTCACATTACTGAACTCAGTGTCCAGTATAATACAAACCTGCAGAGTGTAACTGTACTGATTTTGCACTTTGATTCACACAAACATCTGCTTGGTACCTTAATTTCCTACACAAGACTTGTCACTAGTGACATTATGTAGACTGCCATTCTCATCAGCCTTCACTGGGTTGATGTGTATGTGATGAAGATTTTTTTATTATAATTATTTTTATTTTTAAACTGGAGCATGCACTTATTTTCAGAAATTTAGACTTGCCCCTAGCAGATGACTTACCAAAGGTAATATTCACAAGTAGGTGGCAGATGTAGCAAAAACTTAAACAGATATTCAGCAATCATTAGTTTGGGTCATTTAGAATAGTAATAACCCTTAAAGAAAATAAGCCTTTAGTTGCTCTCCATTTTGACTTGTAAGGATGATACCTCATAAGCTGGATCAGACTTTTTTCTTTTGTTTTGCTGAGGGTTGTTTTTGTTTTTGTTTTGTTGGGGTTTTTTTGTTGTTTTCTTTTTTTGTTAGGTCTTTTAGTGTTATGTAAATGTATGCTGCAATAGCTTTTGCTGCTATTAAAATGGTATTACTAATACCATAATACTCTATTCAGGCTAGGGTATCAATTAAAAAATGAATATGTGATTAAAATAGTGATGGCTGCTGAAAGGAGATCAGTATAGCATACAGAAAAGCTTCCAAGGAAGGTCAATATTTTTTGACTGCATGTTTACTTAATCAGGTTGCTGCATGCAATAAATTTTATATATGTCTAATATAAAACCTGCCCACAATGCACAAATTATGAATCTACGTAGGCTACAAAATACTCAGTAACAAAAAAAAATTGATTACTGACTGGAGGAAGGCATGCCTCAGTAAATGTAATGCTTCTGAAATTAGGATCAGCCCATTACAGAATGACCTATATTACAACCAATATAAAACTAGCTGTAGGATATTCTTAAAACAAATTTGTGGATGGTAGATGAAGTACTTTGCGGTGCTCTGTTATATATCGTGCAATTTATTTTATATAGTAAAGTGATTATGTCTAGTACTGTGATCAAACTTAACTGTTAAAGCCTCTGTATCCAACATTAACACATTTTTGACAGTTCATAACAGGTACATAAACAGAAATGAGCTCTTAGTTACAATCTCTCTCCTAATGCTTGCGTCATTTATGTAGCTGCAGACCTTGTCCAGAAAACCAAAGAGCTCATGCTAGCGTACATACACTACCGATTAGATAGTCTGTCAAACTAATAAACTAGGCACATTTAAGAAAGTTAGGAAACAAAGTGGTGCTAAAGAAATGTCTGCATATAAAAGTAACAATGAGATGTCTGCTCTGTGGATGTGGCGTTCTCTCTCTAATCCTTGGATATATCCTGTGAAGCTTGAACACAATTAAGACCTGCTAACACAGTGGACATTTTTTTAGCATGAACTATGGGGCTGCAGATAGCATAAAACTACAAACACACTTGGTATACTAATGATTGTGAGAATGTGTACACTATTTCTTGTTTTTCCTCCTTTGGTTTTGCAGTTCTGGGGACAATCTGACTGGATATGACACCGCATAGTAGATTTATATGTTCTGGGTTTTGTTTGTTGTGATGTCCTTGTTTGTGTCTAATTTAGGAACTTGTTTTTCCCAATGTTTAGTTGCAAGTATTGGCTTTGAAAGGATTTTTTCTGTTTTTGGAAAAAAAAAAAGAAAAAAAAAGAAAAAATAGTTTTTTACTGGTTTAAAATGCTTATTATAATTATCCCTTTTGAAGTTACTTCTGGGCAGTTTTGTGATATTGCTTTTCCCAGCCCAGGTGTCTTTTCTGTTGTTTTTTTTCATCTGTACAAGACATTTTGTTATGCACTACTTTTTGTATCTAGACAGTTTTCAACAGTCGGCTGATGATTTTTTTTTAAGAAAAAGGCATGCTTTCTGACTGACATGATCTTTTGCAATACCTCAATTTTGAAATATAGGAAAGAAAATGATATTTTCTAAGTAAGTTTATTCAGAAAAATATATATTAATTTAATTCTGCAAGAAAAATGATTTAACAGATGGGTAACTTTATTTTTTTCATGCTTATTTGAGTTTTTTTGAAAATGAAGAAGTTAGAGCTTTATAACTGTAATATTAAAGATCATAGCTAACCTACAGAAATCTACCTAATTATGTGAAAGAAGTAAACCTTTTTGAAGAAATCCCCCTCTTTCATGTAGAAAAATACCCCCAGAGAGAAAGAGAGAGAGAGAGAGAAGCTGGAAAATGTACAATATACCATAATGTTGGATTAAATCTAAACGAAATCATCATAAAGAACAGGTGTAAACACAAACTCCATTTGGTGCTGAAAGTTGTGAATAGAAGGTGAAAAACTATTTTCCCTTAATTTGTATATTTATAATCAAGTGTGATTATGCACGACTGACCAGAATTGTGAGAGTTCTTCTGTTTGTATTTTTTTAAAGAGAACTTTTTTTAGTTTATTAAATTATGACATGCTCCCTTTTCTTTTGTAAATGAATGTGCCCCCAAGTTGTTAATATGTTATATTAAAAGAGGGTCCTTCAAAAAAAGTTATTTTTTAAAATACGGAGTTCTGAACTGCAACTTGACTAAGAAGCCCCTGGGTACAACAGGTCCTATTGTGGCCTTTTCTGATGTGAGACTTGAACTAGTCGATTTTTTTGAAGGCTAACCTAACCTCGACTATTTGTTGTTATGTGCAATACTGTTTGTACTGTTTGTATAAAAAAAAAAGAAAAATGAAAAGAAAAAAGGCATAAATCTTTATTGCAGATTTATTTTCATTGCAGACTTTAGACATTGTGATTCACTAAAATCATTTTTCTACTGTCAAATATGTACCTTTTCTTCATGCTGGTATTTTTTCAATAGTAATGTAGCCTTTGTACTGAGACAAATTTTCATTGTTATTTTTAGAAAGATTTTTTGCTAAGAAAAAAATTAAACATATTTACATATTTTTCATTTTTATTTCGTATTTTCTTTAAGGAGTGCTTTCTCAACCATTAATATAGTTGTTTCTGGGAGAGACTTTCATATCTGGTCAATGTCATTAATATTATTTTGTATTTTTACTTGGAATAAATTAATTTTATGATGCTAATTCTTTAAAAGTTTATTTTTTTCATTTTCAGTTATTTTTGAAGCTAAAATCTTTGTAATATTGTTACTAAAGTGTCTAGTTTTTTGAAATGCAAAGCTTTATGTATTAACTTGCTGATGTGGTTTACAATAGTGTGGCAATGATGAAAATGGTTGGTTATGTAAAGTGATTGGAAAATTGTAACAAAGAATTGGGCAATAAAATGACAGAATGAAGCAGAAAAAACGTGATATTTTGAAAAGCCTTTTCCTTTATCAAAATGATTTAGGGAGATAATAGGGATGTCACAGTACCAGTTCGCTGTCTAGATTTATACACCACCAGTGTTGATGAAATACTATTGCCGTTATAAGGAACTAAATCTATTGACAACGGGGTTTTGACCCTGCCCATTCAGCATAATGCTCCATTTCTTTTCTTGTCATGAACTCGATGATAGATTCTCTTTTCAATAGTCTTAGATTGAACCTCCTAAAATATATATTCTTCATTGTATTTTGCCACCGTGTTGTTTATTTAATTGAATTGACCCTTTCCTGCACAGCTTCCTTCCTGCATATGTTTATCGGTGGCAGCATGGAGCAGACTGTAGGTACCCACATCATTTTCTAAGGAAGTTACCACATCGTGTTGGTAGCTGCCCACTTAATGCAAAATAACATATGGCCATTTTCCTGGTAGCAATGCAGTAACCCATATTGCCACCACGTCTGAACATCTGTTCAGCTTCTTTGTCTTTCTCAGTTCTTCTCTGCCTCTCTTGTGTCTTTGTCCTTTATTTTTCTTTTGTGCTGGCAACACCAAGTGTGCCAGTATGGAAACACCTTTCACTTCACCTACATTTCCATCACCTTTGTTTCCCTATGCAGCCAACTGAAACCCCTTCCTGAAGCCAGCGACTCTCTGTTCTGGCACCTGAAACAATCCAGACTAAGACTGGTGTTGCGTAAACAGGGCATACAGTGACTTTCTCTAGGCAAAACAATTACTTCAACAAGTTATTGATGACCTTTTAGACCAACATATGCTAGAGTGTTAGAGTTGGCTCATCTGTAACTTGTGGAAAGAAATGTGTCCAGAGTTGGTCTATTGTGTATCCTCTGTGTGTTCAGTTCTGTAAGTAATGTATAGACTAGATCAAATAGTGAAGTAAAATTTAGACTCAAATTAGGTACTACTGGTTGGAATGTACGCAAATTGCAAACAAAGGAGATTAAGGAATGAAAAGGGAATAAAAAATTCCTGCTAAGTGGTACAAAGTTTATGCTTATATTTCTGCCTACATGCTTGTATTTTATAGCCTGCTAGCAAGGCATGGGCTACAACAAATTGTATTGCAACTCTGCAGTTAGCAAATAACTTTGCTAATTTCACTATCTGTTAGAGTAGTTTGAAAAAAAAAAAAGAAAAAAAAAAAGAAAAAAAAAAGGCGCTTAACTGGGAAAAGCTCCCATGTTACTATTTCAGTATTGTGACATCTCTACTTGCAAGGTATGAGTGAAAGATTAGTCACAGATTTGTAGAAATGTCTCTTTTGTTTAACCTGGCTTGTATGTAGTTGCTTTTATGCTAGTTTGTATGATGTCAGCTAACCCCTTTTTCTTTTCCTGCCTTCCTTTCTTTTTTTAAACCAGACAAACTTCTTAATCTCTGCTGCTATAGTGTTCTATCATACCACAAAGTATTTTATATTCATGTTAGTGACTACTCTATACCCCAAATGGGTAGCTGGTCAGAAATCACATTGGTCACACAATTCTGACACACTCAAATTTTCAGGAGCAAACGTTTAGCAGTGAGTAGAAAACCAGGGTGCTAACAAGAGGTGATTTGGGCTTTTTTTTGTTTGTTTTATTTTATTTTTTTCCTGGACGTAGTTCTGTTGGGGTATAAAGTATTAGATATTTGTAATTTTACTGTCAAAATAATGGACATAACTTTTAGAGCATTCACAGCTAAGATCTCTGTACTTGTTTTTCAACTAATTTTAAATGTACTGTATCTTTTATTACATGTTCTCTTAGATTGTTTTTGCTAGTAATTCTAACAAGGCTTCTTCCTTTTTGGCTTGGACTAATGCTTGTATGGAACTGCAGTACTGTGACTAAACATGGAGCTCAATGCTGCTATTGCTTACAACTGCTTAAACTTTGTAGTTTGGACTTTATTTTTTTCTGTAATAACTTATTAAATATAGTTGTATGAAGTACTGATATTTGTCATCCTTTGCACATGCTAAGGAAATCTTGGGATATGCCTTATGGGAATGTAAATGAGCTACAACCCCCCCATATCTTACACTGGAAAACTGTTTGCACCAGCTAAGGTTAAGCAAATGCGCACCTTACGATAAGATTAAGCAAATGCACACCTTATATGCACACAAACTGTCTTTTCTAGTTATTTTATAATACAAGTATATGGTCCACTTAAGCTTTCTAAAATGGAAACGCCACCCCAGATAAGGCATTCATTACGCTAAGCCGAAAGTAAATAAAATAATACTGCAGAAATATTTCTGAGAATGTGGTTTTCCCCACCAAATGCAGCATCATGTGCCTTGAACAAAAGGAGCTGTTAAACTACTTTCTCTGAATTTAAGAAAAATTGCTGGCTAACTTAGATTTCACTTTTTTATTAGCAGTTCAGCAATGGCTGCAGGCTACAGAATGGACGGAGCAGTTAGAAAAAAGCACTGCAGCACTGGTTTCTAATGGTTTCTATTTTTAGAACAGGAGACAAAGCTCAGTGTAACAGCTGTTCAGAACTCTACAGAATGCTTCCTTGAAAAATGTGAGTTCTGCTCTGTCAGGGCAAGTGAAGACCACAAGAACAGCGCATGTTGTACATCACCGCTTGCTTTCAGCGGCTGCATAAATGCAGCTCAACAACCCTGCTGGAACTGTCAGCACTTGAAATTACAGGCTGACTTCAATGTGCATGTTCCACTTACTTAAACCAGAATTGCCCAGTGTTATGCTAGAAACTGAATGCCCTTTGGAAACAGTATGAAAAGCTGATGAGGCTGTGTGCTAAGTAGTATGCATGCTCCCCTAGTGTGCAGAAGAGTTCTGTGGCTTGTGTTATGTTATTTTATCCTAACATTACCCTGTGCAAGAAAGATCGATGGCACATACAAAGATGCTCAGGCATGGACTTGTTTTCAAACTACTAATGAAGAACCAGAACTCTTAGGAGAATGGTCCATTGACTGTTCTTCCAGGACAAGTGGTTTTACAAAACAAGGATCTCTAATAGGAACACTAATAGTAAACAAACAGATAAGAACTTGTAGAATTCTGGTAACTTCAGAGTTAAATTTGAGAAGGGAGTTCTTATAAACACCTTCCAATTAATTAGTGTCACACTGCTTATTGTAGCCTCTCACCATACAATGGCCCAGGTCCACCTGGACAAGGTCAGTCTGGGTTTACCCCCATCCTCTGTAACAGAAAACAATTGTGGGAGGAAACTGGAACTGCTAATCCTAAATCCTTCCATTGCTACATTACTGATAAAGGAAGCTATGCCACTTGTAGGGTACTGATACTGACAATTTGCCTTCTCCAGCTGATAGCAGCATTTAACGCAGCCATTGCTTGCATTAAAGAAAATGTTGCACTAATTTAATTTAGGCCAATGCACTTACTTAAGTACAAAAAGCTGCATGACCTCTTTTGCTTCTGTTTTGTATGTGTTATTTTTGCTAGGCTTAAACTGAACAAAAGTAGCTGGCTATATGACGACTGAAGCTTGTATATTGAACCTATTTAGGCTTCTGTGCTTCTAAGCTAAACTTTTTTGTTCTCAAGGCATCCAACCAACATGTCACCTCTCATGCAGACCTCCAGAAAAGCCAAAGCTTAGCTCTTAAAAGCCATAATCTGTTTCCCTCATGTCTGGCAAAAGCTGAATGGCATGAACAAAGGGGAAGAATTGCTGCATTCTCTCCCAGGGATCAACCAGAGAATGGGGTTTAAAACAAGTAACATATTTAACCTGTTTTCATAAAAATGATACTTACGACTTGCAAAAAACCCTTATGCCACATAGTTCTATTACGAATGCAGGACGAAGTTCCATACACCAGATGCATGCACAAACTATGCCTGTTCAAATGAATCCTCTCTCTCTCCCCAGTGGCAAGCAAGGTTTCGCAGAGTTTACTTTGGGATAACAAACTGTACCTAGAGTATTCTGAGAAGAAAACATGATGAAAGTCCAGTTTCCCCCTCTTCCTGTTTTGGAAGGAGAAATAAAACTATCAGCAAATATAAAGTCATATGGCAGGCCCTTGGCAACAGTTAGGCCAGAACTCATGTCGCCTGCTGCCTCACTCATGGCACAGTAGCACTTCCCAGAGTGGCCAAGCCAGCCACGGCACAGTAGGCACTTGGGGCTGAATCAGTAAACCCAGGCATCCATTTGCTACTTTCAGGTGCGTGAGTGATATTTATTTGCTACTAACTTCCTAAAATAACTTTTGAGCTGCTGCCTCGCATTGCTTGGGCCTGTGTTTTTGTGAACAGGAGTATGCAAAACTGTTTATGTCCTAACACTTCTGAATTGTTCGGTAACCCAAGATCTGCTCAGATTCTCTGGCTAGTTCCCTGTAAATTTTTTTCACCTG